GCAAAGAAATATGAATCGAACCTGACAATTGAACCATTTTAGATACTGTACTGTATATTCCAATTAAAATTGGACATGTATCCAACTCCAATTGAAAATACGCCTATTTGGTCCAATTGACAACATTGATATTCTTCGTGCAGTATAAAGTATAATGTAGTGAAACCTTTATAAATAGCTTTTGTTCTACGAAACAAAAATAATTGAATGCGTTTAAATTACAGTATATTTGAAATAGACCTATCCATTGTGAGTTCGGAAAAGACATTTTAGAAGCAGTCGAATGATAGAATAAGATTGCGTGCATATTACTACATGTTTAGTGTGTGCATATACTGTATAGTGTGTACAACACGACACAATGGTGAACGAGTTTGTTGTCGATTTTCATTTAACAAACAACTTACCTGCACGTTTTTCACGTAAGCACTTAATCAAACAGTCATCTTAAGTTGCCCCTTATCTTTATCTGTCAATTATCACGTACCTGTAAATACGAAAGACATTACAACAGTTAAACAAAAATTCTTATGCAAATGTCCGGATATATTTACACATATAAAATTATTTCTTTTAAGACAGCAATGAAACTTTTGATTATACTCCTTAACTTTTCAAATGTTAGCTTGTGAATTATTGTTAGTAATCCAAGAATATTTACGTCCGCCATCAATAAAGAATCTATAATAACTCTTGAATATATTCGTTAATTATAATGCATTATTGTTTGTACAATAATGATTCAATTTTATCACAATAATCGGATAACGGGACATCTTTGAAGTCATTTAACCGCTCTAGGCAGGACTCTTTTTAATGAAAGGCAAAGGCAAGAGAATTTTTAGTTAAATTCTCGCCTTTTTTTTTCCTTCATTGCTATAATTATTTTTTGTATTTTTGTCGGAAATATTAGTTAAAATGAATTCTCGTTACTACCGTAAGCCAAAAAACTCTATCCTCCCATATTCACAAACTTCTTATCAGTATAAAACAATTGATTCGTCATTTTCCTCCACATACCAACCACCATCCCTTTATCCCACCGCCTATTCTAAATTCCTGCCTTCCTCGTGCGAAAGCAGTTCGCCTTATTTCGTGCCTCATGATTCAAGTGATCTTACTATCACCACAAAAACCCTTGACGACATAATAAACTCAGTCATATCCAATGAAGAACGTATTAAATATGAGTCAAAGCTTTTCTTGCCCCTTCATAACCTCATATTCTTCCAAAT